CCGCGGCGTGCGCGCGGCCGTGTTGCGCGGAGCCGGGCGCGCTCTCGCCCTCGGCCTGGAGCCCGCGACCCGCGCGCCCACGCGCCCGCGAGCCCGGTAACGACGGCCCGGGGCCGCGGCACGGCCGCGAGGAGGCGGGCGCGGGCCGCGGGGAGCCGGTCACGGGACTGGCCGTGCGGCGGGCGGGCGGGCCGGCGCTGGGTCGCGCGTTCTGACCTCGGAGATATATATATATAATATTATTTATTATGTATTGAAGACAGACTCGAGTGCCTGGCCAGCCTCGCTCAGGCAACCTCCAACTCCTGGGCTCAGGCGATCCCCTGCCTCAGCCTCCCGAGTAGCTGGGACTACAGGCATGCGCCACCATGCCCGGCTAATTTGTTTCTGTATACTTTAGTTGGCCAGATAATTCTTTCTATTTTTTTAATTAATTAATTAATTTTATTTTATTATTATTATTTTTTTGAGACAGGGTCTAACTCTGTTGCCCGGGCTAGAGTGAGTGCCGTGGCGTCAGCCTCACTCACAGCAACCTCCAACTCCTGGGCTCAAGTGAATTCTCCTGCCTCAGCTCCCGAGTAGCTGGGACTACAGGCTGCACTGCCGCTGCCTGGCTAATTTTTCTGTATATTTTTAGTTGGCCAATTAATTTCTTTCTATTTTTTAAATTTTTTTTATTTTTATTTAGTTTTTGTAATTTAATGTTTTTTTTTTTTTTTTGAGACAGGTCTGACTTTTGTTGCCCAGGCTAGATTGCAGTGCCGTGGGTGTCAGCCTCACTCCAGCAACCTCCAACTCCTGGGCTCAAGCGATCCTCCTCCAGGCCAGGAGTTGGAAACCAGCCTGAGCAAGAGCGAGACCCCGTCTCTACTAACAATAGAAAGAAATTAATTTGGCCAACTAAAAATATATAGAGAAAAAATGAGCCGGGCATGGTGGCGCATGCCTGTAGTCCCAGCTGCTCGGGAGGCTGAGGCGGGAGGATCGCTTGAGCCCAGGAGTTGGAGGTTGCTGTGAGCGAGGCTGACGCCACCGCTCTCTAGCACAGACAAGAGTCTCACTCTGTATCAAAAAAAAAAAGAGAGAGAGAGAGTATTGCTGCCACCCAGTGTTAAAACTAAGGTACAGGCCGGGCAAGTGGCTCACACCTGTAATCCTAGCACTCTGGGAGACCAAGGTGGGCAGATCCTTTGAGCTCAGGCATTGGAGACCAGCCTGAGTAAGAGCGAGACCCCGTCTGTACTAGAAATAGAAAGAAATTAGCTGGACAACTAAAAATATATTTAAAAAAATATCCAGGCATGGTGGCGCATGCCTGTAGTCCCAGCTACTCGGGAGGAGGCTGAGGCAGGAGGATCGCTTGAGCCCAGGAGTTGGAGGTTGCTGTGAGCGAGGCTGACGCCACCGCTCTCTAGCACAGACAAGAGTCTCACTCTGTATCAAAAAAAAAAAAAGAGAGAGAGAGAGTATTGCTGCCACCCAGTGTTAAAACTAAGGTACAGGCCGGGCAAGTGGCTCACACCTGTAATCCTAGCACTCTGGGAGACCAAGGTGGGCAGATCCTTTGAGCTCAGGCATTGGAGACCAGCCTGAGTAAGAGCGAGACCCCGTCTGTACTAGAAATAGAAGAAAGAAATTAGCTGGACAACTAAAAATATATTTAAAAAAATATCCAGGCATGGTGGCGCATGCCTGTAGTCCCAGCTACTCGGGAGGAGGCTGAGGCAGGAGGATCGCTTGAGCCCAGGAGTTGGAGGTTGCTGTGAGCGAGGCTGACGCCACGGCACTCACTCTAGCCTGGGCAACAGAGTGAGACTCTGACTGAAATAAATAAATAAATAAATAAAACCAATGTTTATTAAAGAGGAGGGCCTTCCATTTTTTTCTTTTTCTCTTTCCAGAAGGTTTTTGTGGGCTTTCATGTAGAGTAGAGGGAACAGTAAATACTTCTGGAAGGGAGATCTCTGGAATCGGTAAGAATCAAGTGCGGAATGAGTTTAAAATGCATCTCCCCAGGCCCTGCCACCAAATATGCTGATTCACACATTCTGGGATCAGTACCGAGAATCAGCTTTTTATAAATAAGTGTCCCAGGTGATTCTCTTTCAGATGTTGTCACACCAGGGCCCGAAGATCCCTGGTGTAAGAAGATCACCTAGAGTCTCGTGAAAAATACAGATTCCCTGGACAGCCTGAATTTTAAATGGGGTAAGGATTCTGCATTTTAAAAAGCCTTCTCAGTTAAAGGTTTGATGGTAAATTTTAAGAACATCCTGCCTCAGCCTCCCAAGTAGCTGGGACTACAGGCATGCGCCACCATGCCCGGCTAATTTTTTCTATATATATTAGTTGGCCAATTAATTACTTTCTATTTATAGTAGAGATGGGGGTCTCGCTCTTGCTCAGGCTGGTTTTGAACTCCTAACCTCGAGCAATCCGCCCTCCTCGGCCTCCCAGAGTGCTAGGATTACAGGCGTGAGCCACCACACCCGGCCTTTTTATTTATTTTTATTTATTTATTTATTTTTATTTTGTCATCCTGAAGGCTCCTGTGTATCTTTTTTTTTTTCAGCATATTATGGGGGTACAAATGTGTTATGTATATTGCCCTTGCCCTCTCTCCCCCCCTCAACTCAGAGCTTCAAGTGTGACCATCCCCTAAATGTTGCACATCTCACTGGTTATGTCTGTATACACCCGTCCCCTCCTCCCCCCTCCCCCTTCCCCAATACCCAATTATTTACCCGAATAAGTCATTCCTATTGTCCCACTTAGTGCTGGTCAGTTAATGCCAATTTGCTGGTGAGCGCAGGTGGTGCTTGTTTTTCCGTTCTTGGGACACTTCCCTTAGTAGGATGGGCTCCAGCTCCAGCCAGGAAAAACACAGAGGTGCTGGATCACGCTGTTTCTCAGAGCTGAG